TTTTTTTTTTGCAGCAACTCCAATACTAACGCGCCGCTTGACAATGCGCGCCGAAACGATACGCGCGCTTGAAGTGCGTAAGAACTCGGTGATGGCGGAGAGACGCAAATCTGCAATGCAAACTTTAGGCGCGAAGAATGAATATGGCATCACAACTACAGCAGCGGTAAGTGTAAAACCTGAAGATCCGATTTTGCATATAAATTGGAAAAGATATTTTAAATGATTCTACTAACCTTCCCTTAAGCGCTTTTCACTACATTATTAGGGTATGGAGTTTTTAGCGATTTACATAGAAGTTTAGACCTTTCATTTCAATAGCGCAAAGAGAGATGACAACGCATTTCCTTGAACTGACTAGACGCAGGTGGTCAGATATACAGACTTGTAAGATGTCGAGAATACTATAACCTGACTACAACAGGACGAAGACCTTGCACCTGCTTAGCAGAGCAAGGCCACAGGTGTGCGGAATTGTGGCAACCATCACTGGGCACTGGCTCATAGGCAAGCATGCGGCAAAAATAGAACTAGCCCATAATATGATTTGCTGCAGCTGTCAGCTTGACGATAGCGATCAGCGTTTCCTTTGTGAATGTCCCGGTTTTTCGAAAATTAGACACACAACATTAGGAATACATCTGGTAGCACAACTAGTCGACCTCTCAGGAGATTCAATAGAAAATCAAAATGGTTCGACCTAGCAACATTGCTTGTGCATAGACAAATCATCCCCCGCGAGAAGTGCATTAAAATGGCGCACAAATGCGCTAATTGTGTCCTGGGCAGCGACTAGGAAGCACTGCAACTAACCAACTAACTTTCGAGTGTACCCCGTTCAGCGACCTACATGAACTTTTCTGAATCTCTAAAAGTGGAATCTACTCGCATCTCCTCGAAGAACATCTAACATAACCACCTGTCATATACATGTTCGGATCGTATACTCCTCTATGAAAAATATATGAAGTCCGTTCAGCATTACTTTTGCAAATGACCTGAAGAATGTCTTACTGAATACATGCTCGCCCAGTCAGCTTGTATATAATGAAATATTTTTGTAGGAACAACCTAGACGACCATACGTTCGGCTCATGTCTATAGTTGAATCGGGTCATCTTCTTTCGAGTTAAGAAAATAGATTTCTGAGCTATAAACTATTCTTCTTTTTCTTCTTTATTGGCGCTGTAACCGCCTAAGCGATTTTGGTCGAGTACAACAGAGCATGCCAGTAGTTTCTTTCGGGCTTGTTGAAATCCGACAACTGCTGCGACGGTGGTACTAAATGACCCGGAAATGTGGTTCCACTGCTCGCATATGTCAGTTTGTTGAAGAGCAGTCTCAGAGAGAGGATGTGACATTCGAGTGGCGAATAAATTGGCCGTCCGTTGTGATTGCAGCTTTTCAGCGTTGAGCTTTCCAAGCATTGTTGGACGCACATTTTTGCTGCTCAATGCTGAGTGCGTATCTTTTCTGCAACTAAGAAGTGTTCCGAGTCGATAATAAGCAAAATTTGCATAAGTTTTAAGTTGTAAAATTGACAGTCAAATGACATTTTAAATGTCAGTTAACATGCGCCATGCTTCTCACTCGCATGAACATACATATGTATGTGTGTGTGTACTTTCGTGTGCCAAAGTTTATACAGGGTGTTTCAATTATGTATGGTGGTGGTGCCAAATGGAGCTTTNCTTCTCACTCGCATGAACATACATATGTATGTGTGTGTGTACTTTCGTGTGCCAAAGTTTATACAGGGTGTTTCAATTATGTATGGTGGTGGTGCCAAATGGAGCTTTTTTAATTATTGAAACTTCCTGTATCATTGATCAAAACATATTGGCTCTCTTTGTAAGCCATTTCTAAAAATTTTCCGGTAGTTTTGTTCAAATAAATCAGTCGAAAAGCATAAACAGACTTTTTTTCAAAACTGTTTGAATGACCCTTTGTTTACTGTTGCCCCAAAGTGACCAATGCAATATTTATACGCTGCAATCTACGCAAGAAAAGNTATTATTGATCAAAACATATTGGCTCTCTTTGTAAGCCATTTCTAAAAATTTTCCGGTAGTTTTGTTCAAATAAATCAGTCGAAAAGCATAAACAGACTTTTTTTCAAAACTGTTTGAATGACCCTTTGTTTACTGTTGCCCCAAAGTGACCAATGCAATATTTATACGCTGCAATCTACGCAAGAAAAGAAACGCACCAACAAATGCTTGCCGATAAAAAATCGCACAGAAACCAAAAAAAAAATTAGTTTACACAAATCTTGTTAATGTTTGTGCAAATTTATAAGACCGGAGCCNTTAGTTTACACAAATCTTGTTAATGTTTGTGCAAATTTATAAGACCGGAGCCAGTTTATTTGGACATTTTTATGTTACATAATGGGCCACTTTGCATTTAAATGGCAATAGTAAATATCATTCAGCTGCAAGCGCGTGGAAAATTTATATTTTTATTATTGGATAATTTTATGAGACATTAATAAAATAGATTTTTGGCGGTTACAATTTTGCTAAGCCTTCGGCAGGTGGTTGTTGTGAGAAAAACGAGATTGAATGTTAGTTGTTGCAGAAGCCTGGGCCCTACCAGGTGGTGGTAAAATTTAATTCATCTCGAACGAAATTTCAGATCAAAATGAAGTTATTGCATACCATTTACAAGCTTTAAAACTTCAGCATAACTCAGAACCCAATAACCTCGGAGTGTACGTAGATGTGGTTATGTGTACATTAGTCCTTAACATATAATTTTTCAAAAATAAATATTGTCAATTTTCAAGGATATTCAATGATAACTTTAAAAGGCATTTTCAATATACCAAAAAGTTTTATCTTTTTACAAGCTTTTATTTAGCTTTTTTTACTTTTTACTTATATAATTCTATAGAGCTTTCTTTTTCATTTGATACCCATATTATATTATTTTTAATTAATCGTCTTTGAAATTTCAAATACCTTTTGGAAAAATTCCTAGTTTCGAGAATATGTTGATTTTATGTGTAAAAGTCTACTTCCGCCCGGTGTTATGCCCATTAATTTATTTTTGTTTAAGTATTGAAAAAAAGGGAAAATATTGTTGGCGGCCAAAGCTTACTAAATATATCAGACATACAGTCTTATAACTAATCGGTGAGAAAAAACTTATTAGCACGCTTAGCTTGAGAAAAAGTTCTTGAGTCCAAGTCGTGAATTCTAAACTTTAAAGAAGCACATACACCAGGACGGCTATGGGTTCCCACAGAAGTTATTTCACCATATTAAAAATTCTTTGCTGTAATAATATTATTCATTGAACCTCTATTCCTTATTTCAGTTGAACAATAATGGCGTCATACCGAACCAGCGCAGTGGACGCATCTCTAATGCCGGCATAAGCATCAAGGACGTCTTTAATGCGAATGGTGGACCAGGCGAGGTATGTACCGCTTCTTTCCTCACGCCAAACTAAACTAAAATATGTTTGTTTTTGCAGCCAATATATGGTTCCAACGGTGGTGGTACCATCAACCAAGGCTACGAACATGTACTCGAAGACGACGATCGAAACTCGTTGCGACTGACTCCGCGCAATCCCAATCAACAAGTGTCATGGGGACAGAATACCAGCAACACAGGACGATTATAAGAACGTGTACATTTTGCCACATTGCTAGCCTGAGCTCAGTTTGTTGTTGTTGTTGTTGTTATTGAATTAAAACAAAAGGACTTGTTAGTTATTGTTACTATTAGAATTTTAAGTTCACTGTCCCAGATACTTCCAAATATCGTATTTTCCGTACTGTAATGTACTTAAGAGACTTTTGTGGCTCCATAAACTACAGAAATTGGTGTTTCTTGAAAAGTTTACCTCGACAAAACGCCTAAATTTAGTCAAGTTGCTAACACTGTCACAAAATCGACTACTCGTATTGTGGAGCCAATTCGTTCATAGCTCTTCGAAAAATAACATTTACTGCCGGCTCTTTAAAGAAAAATAATAAAAAAATAGTATGTATATCGAGTATTTTTTTCATATGAATTTCTACTATCTTCATACGTATGTACTTTTACCTACATATTTATATCTTTATGTTACCTAGTTATTTAGGTTAAGGCACAATCTTGTATATTTGTAAAGTTATGAATTTACACTTTTGTGTATTGTAAATATAACAACGAATATTTTAGCTAATCACACTGCCCGCTCACGTGAGTGACTTGTTGATGAATAAATTTATTAAACAAATGTAGGTATGTATCGTCAAATTTACATAAGACAAAGTTTGACGTATACAGGCAGGTTCTGCAATTGACTCCGAGTGATTTTCAATAAAACTCACTTCGAATTCAACGCTCAGGGTCCTGTGCTTCACTTTACGAGTTTTATTCCCACTTTCTTTCGGATTCCAGAACCTGCCTGTAAAATTCGGAAAGTGCAACACAAACCCCGAACTCTGGATTCAAAGCGAGTTTTGTTCAAATTCACGCGGAATTGTAGAACCTCCCTAATAGACTTTGTAGAAAGTCATTGCAATGCCAGCTGTTTGTAAATTTAAAGTTTATAGCGTTTGTCTAGTAATTTAGTATGTAAATTTTTTTAGTTCTTACTTGAATTTTTATGTAGTAGAATATTTTTTTTATTTGCACAAAAATTGTTGTTATTGACAAAAAATACTATACTAATCTTAATCTGTGTTTACCTACTTGGCGTGCATAGATTTGTATTGTATGTATGTTTAGTCAAGGAACAACAGTACCCGTACCAGTGTATAAATCATGGATAATACTCATTTGTCAATTTATGTGAAATCACATATTTTATGCAAACTATATTTTAATTTTGTATGCAATTTTTAGTTGATATAGTGCGTACATATAGAATATATATTTTGTATATGTGATTAGCTATTTTGTATATGAAATTTATAACTTATGCGAAATTAGAATAAAATACTGTTAACTAATTAAAAAATAATCACGTTGTTGTTTTATTAACAAGTAATTTTTAAGCAAAAACACAAAACCGACTTATCGTTAATTTCTTCACGACCCAATTATCGGGTCTAAACAAAATTCGTACCCTTGACGTACAACGTTTGTGATAAAAAAAATAAAAAATATTCCGACAAACTGATAACCTCCTATTTTTGAAGTCGGTTAAAAAAACAAACGCATTGGTTTAATATCCATAGACTACCCGGAGGGCAGATATCGATGGTTCTCTGCAATAACGACCTAATTCAGATTTCAGATAATAAAATCCCTTATTACTATTATAATATCCCATTTCCACCTAAAGCTTAATAGCAGTTAAAAGCTCACGTAAGCTCGAGTAATTTTGACATGGATCGATCGAAAAAGTGTATGTATTACTTTTTGATTTTTTTTTTGCGTTTGCTTATACTTAATATGAACAATTGCCCGCTACAGTTGTAATCTCCTTTTTCCAAAAGGCGTAAACTGCATTTAGGACTTAATGGAAATGAACTATAAACCTTGTTTAACCCTTGTGTAATCTTTAAACGGAACGTTCCATGTCAACTGGAACAGAGCTATATCCAAAAATTGGTGCAATACAAAAAAAAAATATTCAGGGCCTGTAAATGTTTGTACACTTTTAAGAGCAGTNCGGAACAGAGCTATATCCAAAAATTGGTGCAAAAAAAAATATTCAGGGCCTGTAAATGTTTGTACACTTTTAAGAGCAGTGTGGCGATTTTGGAAAATTCAATATGGTGGCGTCATTAGAAGCGATGCAATTCATCAAACTCACGAACCGGCAAATAATATTAGCTGCATTTTTCTTGTAAGCGAGCGACAAAAGAACGCTCAAAGAAGAACTCGGGTAATTTTCCGGATAAATAGCCGAGTTTGTGTTGTTGCTTTGCGTGTATTTCGTCATTTAAGCGAGTGTTTTTTTGTAGCTCGGTTGCAAAAGAATGCAGCTATTAAAAATTCAACATGGCGGATCTAAGATGTAGGACGATATTTTAAGAATCAATATTTTTGTTCGAAAGTTGAGGCCCGGAATTTTCGGGGTTTCTGAACTCAAAACTGGTGTCAGAACTTCAAAATTCTTAATGGCGAATCCATATTGAATCTACCATATAACGGAAAAGTTAACTACGTACATGGCGTATGAGTCACTCAGATGAGATGAGATTATTACTCATACGCCATGTACGTNTAACGGAAAAGTTAAATTCGAACGTACTACGTACATGGCGTATGAGTCACTCAGATGAGATGAGATTATTACTCATACGCCATGTACGTTCGTTCAATGTTTACTCTTCCGTGATAAATGTTAGATCCAATATGGAACCGCCATTTAGAATTTTTAAAATCTAATTTGAGTTCAGCAAACCCGAAAAGCCCCGAGTCTCAAGTTTCGAGCAAAAAAAATGCTCTATTTCTTAACTATATTTAGAGGGTTNGCCGCTATTTAGAATTTTTAAAATCTAATTTGAGTTCAGCAAACCCGAAAAGCCCCGAGTCTCAAGTTTCGAGCAAAAAAAATGCTTTATTTCTTAACTATATTTAGAGGGTTGCCACTTGTTTAACACATGAAGTTCAACTTAATGTCTATTTAAATATGTATCATAATNACCGCCATTTAGAATTTTTAAAATCTAATTTGAGTTCAGCAAACCCGAAAAGCCCCGAGTCTCAAGTTTCGAGCAAAAAAAATGCTCTATTTCTTAACTATATTTAGAGGGTTGCCACTGGTTTAACACATGAAGTTCAACTTAATGTCTATTTAAATATGTATCATAATGTCAGAAGACGAAGGAAATGGAGGAAGGTTTTAGCTTGAAAATACTTTTAAAGAGGTTTGCCGAATTTAATTAACTTATATACAAGTAATATGAAATATTAAAATACGGGTTTCAAATGAAAGTATTGAGAAACCTTTAATTTGAACATTCGTAATGTTCGAAGAAAATTGTTGGCAAAATTGTTTTTAGTTTCACTTTTATACTGATAAAAATAAAATTTTTCATAAAAACAGGGTTGAAATCTTGAAATTCCTGCCCGTAGTTTGTTTGCAAGTCAAATATGAGTGGCATTGTGCTATTATGATAGCACGGCCGAGTAATCATCAACTTATGTACAGTAGTCGAAAAAATTATAGCCGCACCAAATTTTGACAAGTTTTAAAATATTATTTTTGTTGTTATTTAATTTCGGTTAGTTTTCTATAGTTCGTTCTTTACCAACATCCGTATAAATACAAGTTTAAAGGCAGTGTCACACGATTGGGTATTTGCTAAAATTTGGTGTAAATCGTATCCCAATTGTTTGAACACCCAAAATATTTTTCACTATCCCAATCACGAAAATTTATTTATTGAAATTTTTCAATAGAACATCGCTGTATTGTACCAATCTTTTGAATGCAAAAAAAATGCCCCACTTTTTTACCAGTAGCCCAATATAAAAATTTACAAATCTGTACAAATGTAGCAATCGAGTGACACTGCCTTAAAAATTTATGCAATTAAAAAAAATCTACAAATTTTCGCTAAAATTTCGAGTTTTTTAATTAAATTCTGAGTATGCAGTTTTGTAGCCCATTGAATTTTAGTAGAATAAAGTACACGTTTCAAATGGCTAAAAATGTCGATTGATTTTTTAGAATTTTTAAAAGGTCGAAATTTGTACGAAAGTTTGTTGAATTTTTTTTTTTTAATATTGCACATATGAGTAGTCCACTTGCAAACAGCGTTATATGATTTTATAATAGTGATCCCCAAAAAAAAAAAAAAAACTCTACAACAACAAGTAACATCCAAATTGTATATTTCTCTTTTTTTATCTGAAAATTTGGATAAGCAAGAGCCTAATAACATTAAAAAACAAGATGGCAATGTGGTAGTTTTTGCAAATTTTATATATATTAAAATTGAATATAGCGAGTTTTGAAACAATAACTTTTACATAGCTATCTTTTTTCAGAACCCCCGCATACCCCACCCCTTCCCCACCCCCTCCCCCTAAATATGGCCTTGGGCACCGTAATATTAAAAGCTCTTCCAAAATTGAAGGAAAAGCTCGATGAAAAATAGCAAAAATATATATAAGGAAAAGCTAGCAAAATATGGGCGCCAAATAATTTTATATATTTTTTTATTTTATTATTTTATAACCACTGTTACTGATATTTCAATCGCAGCTTGGAGATTTTAATTGGTTTTATGAAGTTTTTTTAGCTTATAAAAAAAGTAAGTGTGCCTGGGCCACACAGGAGAAGTGAAGCTTACGTTACGTATGTATCTATTTTGTCTCATAACCATTATACATACATATGTACATACTAGGGATGTTGCGAATGTGGAATTTTAGACATCCGCGGATGCGAATGCGAATGCGGATGTCAAGTATTTTTAAGAAATAATTTAGGTGTGTAAATTAGGTGATTTATGTAAATAAAAAATGGAAAAGTTAGTCATTTTAAATAATGTTTTTTTTTTGTTTAATTTAGTACTGGAATTTAAAAATTAGAATTGGGTTAAGGCCTGTTTCTTAAAGTGTCGTAAATCAAACCTGCGCCACTAAATAACTACTCGCTCAAGGCGAATAACTTGAAAAACTTGAAGCTTGACAAAATTGTAAATTCTCTTCAATAACTCCTTTCTAAGAATTGCATCAGCGCTGCAAATGTCGGATGTATCCTCCTGCCTTCCATTTTCACAATCTAGCATCATGAAAAGATCGTCGTTTAAACACCGTTATTTTCCATAGAATTCTTCATTCTTATTCTTTTGGTTGTTTCAGAATTTGGAGAACCTGTAACATCATCAGCGATTTTCGATTTTAGTTTTTAACCGACTTCCAAAAAAGGAGGAGGTTATCAGTTCGTCGGAATATTTTTTTTTTTTTTTATGTATGTTACCGCATAACTTTGGACCACGCCAACCGATAATTCGATAATTCTTTTTGCATCGGAAAGGTAGTGTCTCAGAGGTCCCTTACTAATCTGGTTGAGATCCGATCAGTGGATCATGAGATATATATATATATATATTTTTTTTTATATGGGAGTTGAAGTCGGTTTTTTTTTGCTAAAAATTACTTGTTGTAATTCATTTTTAGTATTTTCTTCTGTGGCTGGTTTGAAAAATGTTTGCTTATAGCGAGGTTGTAAATAGGTGGATATGGCAAATAATATGTGATTTTATGGGAATGAAAATTTCGAAGAAAATTTTGTTTGAAAGTCGTGGCTGCCAGCCGAATTAGTTTAAAATCTTGCTATTTTGTTAAAAAGGAACCCCGTTTTTTATAATAATTTGAATTATTGGAATCGTGGATGAAGGTCCAAGATCTGCTTAGTTCCCGGGTGACTTCTTGAAATGGTTCACCTGTAATGAATAGCTTCTAATTAGTTTTGTTATTAACTGAGATCGACTTTTCCTAATTGCAGTAAGTCACAATTATTTACTCTCCGCTGTCAGTACCATGATAAAAACATAACAAGGTAAAACCATTGAGAGGCAGTCTGACGTTTGCCAACAATATAATTTTAAAATCAAAACTCAAACTCACACACACATTCTCATTTTCAATCTCAAACAACAACAATTGTGAACAATTAATTTTTTTTTATTTTCAATTTTATATGATTTTAAAATGTTGGCAAACGTCAGAAAAAAATTATGGCCGACGAAATGAGAGAATGAATTTACCTTGTAATGTTTTTATCATGGTCAGTACCATATAAAATCCGTTTTGTTTTTTCATTCCATGTGCTCAATGTTCTTTGATATTTTGAGGCAAATGTACGCAAATTCTCAACATATCGTTAATATAGTATGGATAGGGCGCATTTCACATTGTGGCTGAAACCCAAAAAAGATGTGGGGACTTATGATTCGATCAAATGCATCATAATCTATCAAACAGTGAATTTTTGAATTTTATTTAGT